ACTCATTGTTACAGCTATTCATTTACCATCTGTAGTTATTTCCTTAGCCCATTATAGCTTTGTTTCAACACACCTCTTCTGTGCTGTTACCAAATGTGTTATACATATAACACATATTATATGTCCAACATTAAACATTTTTAATCAGTTAAGGAGAAAACTATGCATTTACAGCATCTTATATAATCACATAGTTGCCCTTACTACTTTCTCATAAACATTTGAATTATTGTCTGAGATCTCTTGCTTTTAGCCTGAAGGAACCCTTAACAGTTTTTTGTAAGGTAGGTCTTTAAGTAATAAATCCTCCCAGTTCTTGGGGGTGGAAACATGGCTCAGTGTTTAAGAGTACTGGCTGGTCTTTCAAAGGACCAGGGTTCAATTCCCAGCACCCACAGCCCAGTTCTTGGGGGTGGAAACATGGCTCAGTGTTTAAGAGTACTGGCTGTTCTTTCAAAGGACCAGGGTTCAATTCCCAGCACCCACATGGCAGCTTACAACTGTCTGTAACTCCAGGATCCATTGCCCTCACACAGACTTACATGCAATGCACACAAAATAAAAATAAGTAAATTATTAAAAAAATAAAATAAATCCTCCCAGTTCTTGGTTATCTGTTGTCTTCATTTCACTACTAAATGACTACTTAACCTATATTCAACTTTACTAGACATTATTATTTTTTTTTCTTTTTTAAGATTTTATTATGTTATGTATACGAGTGCTCTATCTGCATGTACTCCTTTATTCCAGAAGAGGGCACCAGATCCCCACTGTAGATGGTTGTGAGCCACCATGTGGTTGCTGGGAATTGAACTCAGGACCTCTGGAAGAGCAGCCAGTGCTCTTAACCTCTGAGCAATCTTGCCAGCCTTTTTTTTTTTTTTTTTTTTTTTTTTTTGGTTTTTCTAAACAGGGTTTCTCCGTGTAGCTTTGGAGCCTATCCTAGCACTTGCTCTGGAGACCAGGCTGGCCTCGAACTCATAGAGATCCACCTGCCTCTGCCTCCTGAGTGCTGGGATTAAAGGCGTGCGCCACCAATGCCTGGCCTAGACATAATTCTTAGTTAACTTTTTCTTCTGAGTTGACATCTTTCTTCTGAGAGTTCAAATTTATTACAGGGGTTCCTCTACTGTTTTATTCTAGTTATTGGACTTTTCAACTCTAGACCTTTCATTTGGTTCTTTTATAATGACTCTCTTTAGTGATCTCCATTTAATTTGGCAGTATCTTGGTGCCTTCCTTTACTACTTTGTGCTTCCCTTAAGTTCTGAGAATATATTTATAATGGCTAAATCTCATGCATGTGTGTGTGTGTGTGTGTGCATTCGAGACTGTGCATGTGTATAGATGTGTACTTGTGTGGTCCACAGATGCACATGGACATGTGGAAGCCAGAAGTCTTCCACTATCAAGTGTCTATCAAGTGTCTTCCACTATTACTCTCTATCTTATTTTTGAGTGACAAGGTCTCTCAATGTCCCTGGAGCTCAGTGATTCAGTTAAACAGGCTGGCCAGCCTCCTGCCTCCACCCTCCAGCACAGCTTTTACATGGGTGTTCAGGATCAAAGCTCAGATCCTCATACTTGCATGGCAAGCAGTTTACTCTGATCCCTGTTCACTCTCACCGGGACTTCTGTGCCTAGCTTTCCCACACCCACCTCTCTTCCTTTTTTGTACCTGTCATATTTTCCCATTTCTTATCTCATGTTTTTGATGTTTTGGGCATTTCAGAAAATATATTTTAGTTACTCTTGGGTACTGGTGTCCCCTATCCAGAGCTTTTATTTGCTGGAGGAGGAACAGCACTCTTATCGCTGTCCTTGTGTTCTTGAGACAGGGCTTGCTATGTAACTCAAGCTGGCCTTCAATGCTCCATTCCCCTGTCCTCAGCCTTGAAAGTGCTAAGATTATAGACACAGACCATCAAATCTAACTTCAAGATTACCATTTACTTACTTGTTTGGTAACTAGTTGTATGATTTTAACAAAATCTACTTATCCCACAGTGTGAAGACCTAAGACCTATGACATTCCTCACAGGGAGATATTGATTTGGGTAGTTAACCTTGAATGACATGACTTTAGTCTTCTTCCCTTTCCATGACCATCTAGCTGTTAAATTCTACTTGTGGCTTATTTTTCTAATATTTGCAACAATACCCTGGGGCACAACTTGTATACAAACTAGTCTACTGAATTATGGGTTACTCTGAGGGAACTGTTTGAGGTAAATGTTTGATATTTATTCTTACCTAAGGAAAGTTCCCTAATTTCTTGCAAACTGGAAAAAAATGCAGTCTAGGCTGTATCTTCATAAAATCCAATCCTCTCTCACTAAAACCTAGTATTCTCAAGACTGCTTTCAGGCATGAACTTTTCCACTGTGTTTCAGGTGAAGTTATTTCCTTTGGGGTAAAGAAAGATTAGGACAATCTGAGGCTTGTTTGGAGATTTGGTGCTACAGGTTGAATCTTGGGCCACCTGCAGTGCTTTATCAGAGCTATATCCATAGCCAACAACTCTGTTTAACTCTTGCTGTCCTCCATTCCTCAGGCAAAATCTCTGAGCCAGGATTCTAAAAATGGAGAAAGGGATAATAGCAAGCTTTTCTTTGAGATGTCCCCTTCCCCACCAATTCCAGGACCGAGTCTTTGATGCAAAAAAAACCACAGTAGGTTGAAGTTTCAACTTGCCTTCCCTGAGGTCAATAACTTCTTCACAAATCAAAGTTGGGGCAAGAGCAGTTAGGTCCTAAATCTTCTCAGTATGCCACACCCTGTAGCACAGGTAGGGACTGAGTAGAAAAAGGAGGCCCCACCTCTCATGTGCCTTCCTGGAACTCAGCCCCAGCAATAAAGAGTGGAAAGAATCATTGACAGTCTTGATTCAAACTACTGCCTCTCACCTTATTAAATGTTCATTGATTTCTTGTTGTAGCATTTGCTGTTCGCCCTTACAACTATTTCCAAAGCTTGTTTTCAAAGAATTTTCACTGGTTTGGGAATAGAATATATTAGTGGAGCTCCTGATACTGTCATGCTTAAGTCAATCCTATCTAAAAGCAAAGCTAAAGAGCTGAGTAGTTAATTCCAACAGCGTCTTAGGGGCCTGTAGAGCTGAAATGACTGACTATACAGACATGTAGAAACAGTAACTCCTGACTTAACTGTCACTCCTACTAATGCTATTGGCCATGAGTCAACACTCTGTAGCAAAGACTACATTGCTTAAAGTATCATCCTGGCTAAAAGCTTACTCTGAAGTTCAAAATCTTGAGACATTCTGCAAATATAACAAAGAAATTCAAGGGTTTTTTTCTCTCTTTTTTTTTTTTGGGGGGGGATGGTTTTTCGAGGCAGGGTTTCTCTATGTAGCCCTGGCTGTCCTGGAACTCAGTCTGTAAACCAGGCTGGCCTCAAACTCACAGAGATTCACATGCCGTAGCTCCCAAGGCATTACCACCACCTCCTTTTTTGAGGCTTTTGGCACATTCTGTAACCCAGGCTGGCCTTGAAATCTCACAATCCTCTAGTTCAGTCTCCTAAGTATTGGGTTTGCAGGTGTGTGCTGATGCACCTGATCCAAAAATGCTTCATCAAGACATTAAAACATAAAAAAATAGGATGGGGGCAACATCAAACAAACATCAAACAGTTCTTTCTTCCACCAAATACCTGTTGAGTATCCTTTAATTCAATTCTGACACACTCTACTTGTAATGTTAAATCTCATAGGTAAAAGTGTCAACCACACAAGACTGCTTCCTGTTTCTGATGCCAATCAACATGTTTCTGACTATCAACAAAATGAGGTGCCACAACTCCTTTTGGGTTCAGTTAGTTTAATAGAGCACCACACATGAGCACACTCATGTCTACCTATTTTTATCAGGGGTATTACAAGGGACACAAGATATTACAAGATCTTTTTAAATGAAGAAAGTAAGGCGTGTGGGAAAGGGTGCAGAGCTTATATGCCCGTTCCTATTGAATATGCTCAGCTGGAAGCTCTCCAAACTCCAGCCTTTGGGGAGTTTATGAAGACTTAATTACAGAAGCATTATTGATTAAATCACTGGTCTTTAGTGATCAATTTAGCCGTCAGTCCCATTTTGAGAAAAGAACTGAAAAGTCCCAACCTTAAGGATGCTAACTAAGCCTTTCTGGCAACCAAGCTAAATCCTAAAACTAAAGCCTGGCAACAACAGCCAACTCATTAGTACATAAAAAGACACTTACTACTTTGGAGATTTTAAGGGTTTTAGAAGCAATAGGCCAGGAAACCAGATCAAATATAATCAGGTGTCACAGACTGGTTTTGGGTGGTTGTTTGTTTTTTGAGAGTTGAATGTGTAAACGTCTGACACTTGGAAAGTGCTCAGGGCTGTGGATATAACCCAATGATGGAGTACTTGCATAGCACAAGGCCCTGGACAACACGCACACGCGCGCGCGCACACACACGTTTTCAACAAATTATCACTGTTAGAAATTATGAAAGTAAATGTAAGTTACTCTTTCCTCAAGGAGGTTTTTTCTTAGAAACTTTAAAGTTTGGAACAGGGAAAGTACAAACTTTCAACAAGACTGTATGTAACTTTTAAGCCCTACACAAAACAACACCTAATGATAAACTCCCTGGAATTTTATGCGCAAACCCTACACACTGTAAATCAGTTCGTTACTACGGAAGATTCCAGCTTTTCCCAGTAACAAATGAATGAAAATAACCTTCAGGAAAAACCACGAGGCCACTTTTTTTTTTTTTTTAAAGGTAACAACTAGCTTTGACTTGTGATCTGGGCCTAGATAGTCCTTTCCGGTTCTGACCATCTCCACCCTTGCCCAGAGAATGGTATAGACAGAATCCCTCAAGCTTCCACATCGACTGTCACCGCAGCGAGGCAGCCCCGTGAGTGGGGACGCGCGCCCCGGCCGGATAGGCAGGGATTCCGTGGTTCTCCGCTCAGAGTCCGTCGGGACTGGCGGCGGGTTACCTCGCAGTTGAACTCCATCTCGGCGTCCATGGTGACGATCCGCACCGTAAATGTCTTGGGCTGCTTCCTCTTAAGCGAGCTGAAGCTCATGCGGGAAGCGATGGCTCCAGCCATGGCGCAGGATTCTGGCCAGGGACCCTCTCACCCTTAGGTCTCTTAGCCTCCCTGGAGAAGCTGCACAGGCCTCAGGGCCACCATGGTGGCCGGCTGGCCGGCCTGAGACAGACCTAGGCTGCGTGGGTCCCCAGCGGCCACCATGGGCCGCGAGGACCCGGCCCCCGGTGCGGAGAGACGAGTTAAGGGACAGTCTCCGACGGCAGCGGGGACACGACGCGGGCAGGAGCGGGCGCGGCCCGGCGCTCGGAAACTCGGGCTGGGGACGCCGGGGACGCCCCTAGACTGGAATCCTAGACGGCTGC